TATATATATATGTATATACATATGTAGAAGCAATATAATTATGTAATATAATAATTTCTTACAATCTTATAAATGTTATTGAATTACATTCGAGTTATCTATGAATAAAAAAACTTTTTTTGTACTTAAATAAATAATTTTTCAACATTTGTTCTTCTTTTTTCTGTTTAGTTTGCATTGTTTATTAAGAATTTGTAAGAAAAACTATATATACATATATATTTTGTTTTAATAAAATTTAAAACAATCTACACAGTTTATTTTATCCTCTTTTTTTCTCTTTTTTTCTTTCTCACATGTTATAAACGTCAAATTCTGTAATGTGTGCAAAGTAATCCTCAGAAAAACTAATCGATATCACAACGGACCGTTAGCTCAGTTGGTCAGAGCATCGGACTTGCTTGAAGCCGAAGGTCGTGGGTTCGATCCCCTCATGGTCCATTATTTTTTTTTTTCTTCATTTTGTCAGTTTTACCATTTTTTGTATCAACCGTGAGTGTAATTCCATTTATTTACCGTTATTAAATACATTTATTTATTATAAAATAAAAAGTTTTACGATCTGTATTTGCAGATACATACAGATCAAAAAATGTTTTTTTCAAACGGTAAATAAAGAGAATTAAATTTGTAACTGATACAGAATTTGAGAAAAATTGCAAAACACAAAAAAAAAAATGATAATGGACCGTGAGGGGATCGAACCCCCGACCTTTGGTTCAGATTAAGTCCAAATGCTCTGACCAACTGAGCTAACGGTCCATTGCGACATCGGTATCTAAATTTTCAAAAATTACTTACTTTCACACTTAGTACTCGCAATGATAAGAAAATCGATCTGCCTCGACACCGCTTTTAAACGAATTTTGACATAAAACGCGTATTTGAAATAACATTTCAACTTTTCTTAGGTGCACGGTTACATTTTGTATATTTTTTGTTGTTCAAATAGAAAAATGTTACATGATAGATGTATTTTGATTGTATTATTTAATACAAATAGCAGCTAATGATAATTTAAAAAATATACTTGATTGTGCTTTCTTCGTATTCGTATCGGACAGTACAGAATTTGAGAAAAATTGCAAAAAAAAATAAAAAAAAATAAAAACAATGGACCGTGAGGGGATCGAACCCTCGACCTTTGATTTGAATTAAGTTCAAATGCTCTGACCAACTGAGCTAACGGTCCACTTGACATCAGTCTCTAAATTTCCAAAGACTACTTTCACACTTAGTGCTCGTAATGATAAAAAAATCGATCTGCTTCGACACCGCTTGTAAACAAACGAATTTTAATACAAGCGTTAACAAGCGCGTGTTAAAGAAAAAAAAACATTTCAACTTTTCTTAGGTGCACGGTTACATTTTGTATATTTTTTATATAGTTCAAATAAAAAAATGTGACGTGATAGATGTTGTGTATTTCGATATTATTTAATATAAATACCAGCTAATACAGATATAGCAGCTAATGATATAATCTAAAAAAAACATACCTGATTGTGCCCCCATATCTTTCTTCGTGTTCGTACTGGACACACCAGGATTTCAACTGCTTGCTTCGCAAACTTCCCTCTTCGACGTCGTTCGGAGAGATGTGTTCGCAATCCTTCTTTTCTTGTTTTTCACTCACGAAACACGCGTAAATTGTTTGCGCGTTGCAGCGACGCGTGCAACGAAATGATCTGTTTCATCGCGGTGTGCACGCGGATTCGGCCAATTCGTTTTTCGCTCGTATCTCGACGCTTTCTCTCGTCGATTAAACAATACGTCGCGTATTGTTGCGAACGTTCGATGTCTTATGACACAAGTGCTCGATACCTATTAAGCGCGCGGAACGATAAGAATCGCGAAAAAAAACGAGACGATTCGAACGCGATTCCGTCGCGCCGCGACGTTGGCCATGATGACTGCCCGCTAATTCCGGACGTATCGAAGCGCGATATTGCGATTCTCGAAGTATCGAATCTTCAAACGAACAAAGAAACCCCCTAGAAAACAAGCGGAAGTTGTGTGGTCAGACTGGCTCAGATCGCGGTAATAACACACATCGAGATATCGATCTCTCGAATCCTCGACGAGAATAACATCGATCAATTAATCGAACGTCGCCCATCCCTAACCGTGATTCCTAGTGAACGCACATAATCATGATCCTGCTTGAAATACACAACAGGATACTCGAGGAAACTTTAACGAGCAAAATCAAGAATGCTCTGTCGGGGTGAGCGATTTTTAAATGTGTGATTTTAAATGATTTTCTCAAATTCTCAAAGCCGTCCGTCTTATCTTTGTAACCTCCTCGTTTCGGAAGATGTGGCGCCGGGGCGGTGTCCGTTGAATTATCTTTCTCGGAAAAATTCTCGAGAGATAAGCTCGTTACTTATTTTTCACCGCACTCTTATATTTTTCCAACTTTTCGATCATTTTCTTCCACATGTGCTTTTTGACATTTCTCACGTGACAGAGAAGGATTCTTTTTTTAACTCACGTCAAATTTTATTATTTATAAAGAATTTTTGCGTCGCACTTATTAAAATTTTCCCAAAGACTACCTTGCTGTTAGTATTGTTTTTGTTTTTTAATCAATATATGTTTTGTTTGTATAGACACAAGCAGGAGTCCACAGATGTTGTCATAGCAGATTTTGATGGGGTGTTGTTTCACATCTCCAACTTGAGTGGAGACAAGTCAAAGCTTAGGGTAAATCAATATATTTCACGAACAATCTGTGTAGCGTTTATGTAACACCGTGATGATATTACTCATATTTTTGTTGCAGATAAGTATTCTGCTCAAATTTTATAAACAATTGCAAGAATATGGTGCGGATGAGCTGCTCAAACGAGAATACGGGTCTCATTTTATTGCACCAGAAAGCGGTTAGAAATTTGACTAGAAGTTCTTACATAATTTTCACACTTTGGATTAAAAAAAAAAAAACAAATGACAGATTTTAATTTATTTTATTATATTTCCGCAGGTTATAACGTGTCGGTGCTCATAGATTTAGAGAAATTGCCGGAGGATTGGGAAGCATTAGTGAGGAAAGTGGCCTTGTTGAAGAGGCATTGCTTCGCCAGTGTCTTTGAAAAATATTTCGACTTCCAGGAAGGATATTGCGATTCTCCAGACGGACCTGTGCAAAAGAGAGCTGTTATTCAGTATCGAGATGAAGAAACAATGTAAGAAATGTGTTTGTGTGTGCAGACTAACTAAATTGCTTATTAATCGCTATTTTCTTTATTTTGTCTTTAAGGTACGTGGAGGCTAAGAGCGACAGAGTCACAGTAGTGTTTAGCACGATATTCAAGGACGAGGACGATATGGTGATAGGCAAATTGTTCCTTCAGGAATTGAAGGAAGGCAGGCGAGCCAGCCATACCGCGCCACAAGTGTTATTCAACCATCGCGAGCCACCGTTAGAACTGCAAGATTCTGAGGCGGCGGTCGGAGACTGCATTGGCTACATTACGTTCGGTAAAGAGAAAGACTGTTGCACTCTCTTCAACTCGTTGAACTTCGCCGAGTTTCTTGCACGTTGACGAATTATTGATATTAATTTCTATTTTTGCAGTGCTGTTTCCACGTCACACCAATAGAGACGCTCGCGACAACACCATCGACTTGATACACATGTTTAGGAACTACTTGCACTATCACATTAAGTGCAGCAAGGTTTACATTCACTCGAGAATGCGCACCAAAACGACAGACTTCCTCAAAGTTCTGAATAGAGCGAGGTCTCAGTCCAAGAACACTGAGAAAAAGACTATTACGTAAGTTTCGATCGAAAAACTTATTAAAAAAAAAAAAAAAAAACGAATAAAAATTGCAAGAGTTTTGTATTGATTTTGGGCTTAGATATAAATTAAATATTAGATTTACATTTTTTTTTGTTTACAGAGGACGGACATTTATTAGGAAAGAGTGAACGCGCCGAGGAATCAAGAGTGCTAACCTGTTTTTAAGAAGACAGAACGAGAAATTGCGCGACTATAGCACGATCGGAAACAACCGACTCGTAAAGGAGAGTCTTTCGCGAGAGGCGTCCTTTGCCTCGCGCGTTTTCGACGAGATGAGCGGAATTTGGAGATTTCTGAGTTTTTTTTCTTTTTTTTTAACCTGTTTGTCGAACGCTGTACACTTACGAACGACGTAACGCCGCGTTGAGAGAGCAAGTTCATCGTTATCTCGCTCAACGCGATGATAATTTCGATTTACAACAGGAACAACACTCGGATGACGTATACGCTTCCACCGATTACGTTGACAGTTGCTACTTTTATCGGGAAAATTATCGTTATCGTGAATGTCGCTTTCGTCGCGAAAACGTTCTGTCAATTTTTTTTACAGCGATTTAGAATTAAAATTATAAACACACCACAACTGGCTGAATTTTTAACGAGAAACTTGCATTCCATTATGTACACACACACACACGACGTAGCTTGTTACTTCTAACGACGAAATTGTCACACGTTACATCTGACGTTTTGATCGAACACAACGCATAAAAAAAAACAAAACAAAAATAGATAATATCGTTAAGTAATACGAACAAAAATCGTGAGAGGTAAACGATTGAGGTAAACGTAAACTTTTTTAGTCTATCGTATCTGTGATTTCGGATTGTCACAAAAAGTTTCATACTACTATACACATATTTAAGCCAGAAATATTAATTAAAAAAGAAAAAACCAATTTACTAATAATTACTTTCCGCATTTTCTAGCTCGATAAAATTTATCGCAACAGATAAACCGCGCGCTAAATTGATACAATCTTTCCCCTTTTCGATGTTTTTATCGTCTCCACTTAATTATTGTACTAATTAATTATATCATATGAGAGTGATGAATAAAAAAAAACAGCATTAACAATTTGCAAGGTTACACCTTCTGTGCACACCTTCGTCATGTTATTGATCTGTAATCAAGCGGACGGCGTAAAATAGGGAGTGTCGGGAACACGTCGTTCAATTAAGCAAACCACACCCAAGCCTACCTCACCGCGTCGGGGAGGAGGTCTTCCCTCGCTGGGAAGTCGTCTCTCAGGAATAGCTACGCACTTCTGACACGTGACATTCGATTCCTTTTCGACGATAACACTTTGCGCAGCTAATAGTTGCAAATAGTTGGAAAATCGCCTAGAGGATTTGGACGAACAGGACTCGAGGGAATTTTATCGTCATCAGCGTAATGGAGATTAAAACGACGTTCCCGACGATCTCGAGCAGCTCGCCCTGTCCGCCGAACGAAGACTCCGCGAAGATGGAGGACGCGGTGCAGCAGTGGCTGGAGAAAGAAACGTTTTCGGGGGTTCGCGTCTGGCAGCTCGCCGGCATCGTTCTCGCTGTTCTGCTGAGCATCGTCGTCGGACTCTGTTGCTGCGTGCGCTTTCGCGTGCCGAGAACGAAGCAGGAGATCGAGGCCGATTACATTCGCAAGAAGATAACCAAGAGTTTTCGGAGCGAACTGTCGAAGATCAGCAACAAGGAGATGGACGAGATGGATCTGCAGAAAGGTAAAGACACGAGTTAGAGAAAAAGCAGAAGCTTGGAATAGAAACTTTCTGCGTAATTCAATTAACAAAAAAGTTGAACATAGAAAAGCTCATAAATCAACGTTAAGATTTTTGGGAATTACACAAGTGGAAGAAAAATTTTAACTTTTGCTATCTAAAATTTTAGGAATATTACTCGTTTACAAGAAACAAGCGGATTGCGTAGAAATGCGCAATGTTAGCGATGCAACATTTTAAAACAAAAATAGTTACGATGCACCGCGAGCTAATCGCTTTTTATATCGCAGCTTTGGACAGAATCCGTAGCGAGTACGAGGGGGACACGTCCGCGATAGCGAAGGAATGTGCGGGATTGGCGCAACGAAGCGTTCATCAGGGCTTTCGGTCCAGATTCAACGCCGTGTTTGGCAAAACGCGTGTGCGCTTCAGCCCGCGCGAGCACGCGGAGGCGAGCGCCATAATTTAACGACGAAAACAAAATTGCCAATTAATTGTAACTGATAAAATTACGTTTTGCAATAAATTGCACACGGCACGCGACGGAAAGAGATCAAACGTTTCGAGACAAGTCACCTCGTAAAAAAAAAAAAAAAACAAAAGGAAATACATGCGTACACGCACACGCTCTCATTTTTTGACTAAATATAATCTTTATTTCATATAGATATTTTTATACACAAATTTATTTATTTTAGCATGCAACAGTGATCTATATAGCAACGAATAGTAATATGCTTCGGAAAGCACCTCACCACATGTGTCATAATTTCTCTTTTTTTTTTTTTTTGTCTCTATATCATATAATTCGACATTGCTATCGATTAATTATTTGTACTCTCTCGTTAACCGCGCTTGTATCTTATTATTTACTGCATATACATAGATGAATCTTATTCGAATCTATTCGATAGAAGTTTAATAATTACAGAATTACTGTATCTCTAATGATCAATGATAAGAGGGAGAGTGATTGAACGAAAACAAGAAACTGTTGTTAAATACAAAAACAAAAAAAAAACAAAAAAAAAAAGAATAAAAAGAAAGATTGCAATACTGATTTGCCGCGTTTCGTATAAATCTAAATTCCGTAGTGTCCTCGTTTCTGACATAAACGATCCAAGGCAGCCTTGCGAGGTATCGGTAACGCTTGCGACTTAAATGTAAGATAAGAAGCACGCACGCACACACACACACACACACACCGGAAGCGGCGTCTGCGACAACAAATTCAAGGTGAAAAAGAAAATCAGAGGAGAAGGAAAACTCGACAAAATAAGAGACAACGTAAGATGCGTGTTTATGAAAATGATTTTTTATTAAAAATATCGGAAAACACAAGAGAATTGTTGCTTGCCGGAACGATTAACACGGACGATTCCGTCGTTGCAGCAATCAGTAACAGCCACTCTGTTGTATGATTCCGTGTAAAAGGAAAAGAAAACATTTAATAAAAATTATTACAAACGGAAATCAAAAAAAAAAAAAATTCGATTGCGAGCTCAGCTGAGCGAGTCCGGATGCTCTCGACTCAACGTCGAAAGCGCTCACATTCGCCCGAAGATCCGAGCGAGAATCCATACGTGTGCGCGACTCATCATCTCTTCTCTTTTCACGAATCAAAGGACGATGACTTTTGTCATACAGTAGAACATAATAGGAACGGGGAAAAAAAAAGTGATAAAAAAATATAGAAACTTGATAGTTCTTGTTTTACGTCAGCGATAATTATTAAAATGGTCTTAAATTTGTCATGTCTATCGATCAATATACATATATATAATATATATACATATATATATATATATAGTGACAATACATCAATTTTTTTTGTTTTTTTCTTAATTGTTTTTTTTTTTGGACAAAGATGATTGACAAGACCGATCATCATCTTTGCGTCGCGTAATCGTGTAACGTACCGCGTCATCACGCGCGCGATATTTAACGCGGCATACACGCGCGTCGTAATTGAAGAAACACACGTGCGAGCAAGAATTTGCCGCTCTCAAAAATGTCTCGGTTTTTGTCTCAGACCAGATTTTGAATCAAAAACATTTTATCTTTATTAGCGCTTTACCTCCACGCTCTATCATGCAAGTAAAAGTTTCGTTCTCTATCTTCTTTTTATACGCAATGTAAATTCAAAAATGATTTCATCAACAATAGCGTTTTCATCTACGATATTATGTTTCTTTTTTTTTTCTTTTTTTTTTGTCGCCAAAAGTACACAACTCCAATTCAATCGAAAGGTAAGTTACGCGTTCGCTCATCAAAGAAGACGCTTTTAATTCTTAAATAATGTGTGTATCTTTCGAAACCTTACGTACTAGAAATCTTTGAATGCTCTCGATTCCTTGTTCGCATTAAATCCTGCGGATCTCTCGCGTTTTTTTTTTTTATCTTCTCTCTTGTCGAATAGCCTGAAATCCTTATCGTTCTACGAATATCGTCTTAAGTATTTAAATATCTCTGAATCCTTACATTCTAGGATCTTTTTAGCGGTTACCTTAGATTCTAGGGTTCTTTGGATCATAAAGGTGTTAGAATTCTAGGAACTGTGGATCCTTAGGTTCTACGATCTTTAGAGAGTTCTTGGGTTACAGAATTGTTTTTCGTGTACGTGTATGTGTGTGTGTGTGTGTGTTGTTGTTGTTGTTACTTTATTCTAGGATAGAATATTTTTGTTTTTATTATAATCTTTCGCAAGAGAAAAAGGAAAGGAAACAAAAAACTGACGAACTGATTACTATTGGGATCTACCGTCAGATCAACTTCGATTCCAAAACGGATGTCTGATCGCGGAACTACACGGAGACTTTTTAAACGCGCTCTCCGGAAAGCGGGAGAAATCGGATTCTTGAAGGAAATGCGAAGTGACGTTTTTTTGTGACGTCACTTTTCGCGGAGAAAACTTTGATCAACTGGAGAATTCGACAACACATGAAGACACGTCGTATATACACGAGATACCATATCGTTGTTTTTCTTTTCTTTTTTTTTTTACAAAAGATACAATGACTTTTACAGAAAGTTTAGCTCGGTTTCACACGGATCTTGCGAATGTCAAGATTTTTCGAATTTTCATTCGCGCGTGAACACGACGAGCCGGTGCGCGTGAGAACTGAGGCTAAAGTTCATGCAAAACTCATCGGACTCGTTGCGGATTGGAGAAATTTATTTCGAAAATTACGTGCAAGTGCGTGAGAGTTTCAACGTGAACGGGGGAGAAACATCTGCGAAACATCGATGACTTCGGAATTCTTCGCTTTTTTTCTTTTTACTTTAATTGGTAAAAACTGACTAAGGTAAAGAGACAGAGAAAAGGAGAGGTTTGCAGGCGACAAAAGAAAGAGAGAGAGAGAGAGAGAAAGAGCTCGCTACGAGGTAAGAGAGGTATGCTTCCTTATGTATAAATTAGAATGGCGTCGCGACACACAGCATCAGCGACGGCGGACGTCTTACGCGTGCCTTCACGAGATCTTATTGCGCCACCACGAGAACTTCATTTTCGGGCTGAGATATTGGAAACTGATAACCGACTGCGGAATGAGCGCGAGAATCGGTAGGAAGCTGCCGCAGCTGCGACTCTTCGGTTCCTCATCGGCGTTCTCCACCATCGTCGTCGCCGTCTTCTTGCTGGAAGTGTTCACGGTGGTGGTCGTCGCGGTCGTCGTTGCCGGCGTCGAGTACGGATACGGTGTCGATAGCGGATTGCACGTGATATGAATATCATCTGGATTCCACTTGTTATTCTCCGTGTCGACCGTGTATTTTTCCGCGATGCTTCGTCTCTTCTGCTTCTTCTCAGCGGCGACGCTCGTGTATCGCACGACGTCGTTCTTCTCAAGAACGTCGCCATTATCGAACTCATGTTTGAGAGATGATGTTTTCAGGGAAGTTTTACGATACACCTTGGATCGGGATGGTTTCGTCGTCAGCTGTGGCGACGATACCGAGCGAACCGTGTTGTCCACGCAGTTTTCGCTTTTCGGGATTGTGTTGTCGGTGACGCTACGATCCCGAAAAGCGGACATGCGTCGCGCAGGGAAAGATGAATGGTGCTCGTCGTCTCCGCTTCTCGTCGCCGCGTTGTCGCAGCGATCTCGAGAAGAGAGACAAAGAGGCACCAAGGAGAGTTGCGCTTCATTGGTCCCATTTTGTAGGACGAATGAAGCGTCCTTGAACCCTCAGCTCGGGAAGCGAGAGAAGAATGCGCAAGTCAAATCGTACTGCAGAAAACGATAATAGTGCACGTCGGTGCGCAACCACTCGCCCGAGCGATCCAGGTAACTCGAACGCTTCTCAAGCTCGCGCGGACATTTGGCCGCCGCTGATTGCTTGTTGGCAAAGATCGTCACAACGAACTTGTTGGGCTTGAAGGTATTCAGCACGCGGCGGATTATCTCGTTGTACGACGTCTCGGACACATTGCACTCGAACGAAACGTACGAAAACTCGGGTTCCGGTGTGATATGGATTGTCATATAGCTGCCCTAAAAATAAAAAGAGAAAACAAAGAAGATGATGTCTCCCGCGTTAGGGATATTGATAAATCAAAGTTTCCGCTCTAAACAGAACTCACATCTGTGGACAACCCGTTCATAGAATATCCGTATGGATCGAATAGAAAGTCATCTATGAGCATATTTGGAATGATCCTATCGATCCCTGATTTTCTGGTCGCCTCCTCGGCGGACGAGCAGACTTCTTTGGTAAAGATTGACATTATGTCTAGATCCAAATGAGTCATAAGTATTTCCAGAGTTTGATCTGGCTCCGGTGGATCCTGTACCGGCTTGTCGCGGATCAGCACGTACAGATACCAGCACTCCTTTTCAGGTGAGCCCATGCGATACGCCATGCCGTCTAAAATATAACAAAATTTAAATGTTGTTCGATCTTAAACATCAATAATACGAGAGAAATCAGATTAAGATTTTGTATGAAACTAGAGAGTATTATAAGAATTACCACCAGGGAAAAGAGATTCCAAGAGAGCAACTTCTTCGTCAAATGTCTGATGTGGCGAAATCTGGAGTTCTGGTTTCTTGTAATTCTTTCGGGAATAGAAAACGCTCTAGAACAAAAGAAAATACGATTAATGTCTTTTCTGCGCAAAAATTTTGTTAAAATATATAATGCGAATCAGAGCAGTTTTATATGAATACAACGTCTACTATAAAAATAAAGCATCGATATACTTAAAAAAAAAAAGAGTTAAGAATGTTTTCTAATTTAGACTGCCTTTGTGATCTAATCGATTAAGAGTTGTTGTCTGGTTACATATATCTCAGATATTTTTATAAAATATCCAGATATACCGTAGCATGAAAAGATGGCAGTTGGGTTTGCGAGTTAACGCCGGGAGGAAAAGAAACGTAATGAGAAATTTGACGAAGCGCGATAAGATTCACTTGATCGGAAACTGTTCTCACCTGATTGTTTATTCGACGATACAGATATATCGACCGAAACGTTTTTCAAGTGAGAGAAAGAAAGAGAGAGAGAGAGAAAGAGAGAGAGAGAGAGAGAGAGAGANGAGAGAGAGAGAGAGAGAGAGAGAGAGAGAGAGAGAGAGAGAGAGAGAGAGAGAGAGAGAGAGAAGAGAGAGAGGAAGCACAGGTATATTGCGAGATAGGTGAGATCAATAAATCAGGAGGAGGCAGAGAGACACGTTTCCCCTGGGGAGAACACGTATAGTCTCGCGTTTCTTATCTGCGCACACTAGGTCAAGTTATATAGCTAAGCCACATTCGCGAAACTGAACGACGAAGTAAAACGGCGGAAGCTAATCCTCTCCATTTAGTCGCTTACATGCTCAATGTCAACGTACCGAAAATAGACGCACATATTATCTCCACGTAGATTTTTTATTACGCAAATTAATCATTTTGATTATTTATCAATTGATTCCTTTTATATTTGTATTGTTTAGTGGATTAGAGTAGAAAGGGCGTATATAAATGACAAGTGTGTGTGTGCAGATATAATCGATTAAAAATTATCGAATATAAAATTTATGGAATACAAATAAGACGTAGTAAATTCTCTGAGACACAGTTGAAACAATTTGAGTCATTTTCTATATTCAGACAAATTTAAAAATTTTGAAATTGAACTGTTTTCTCTAATTGACAAAATAGCTAAAAAAAATGTGTCACTGCAAATTATATCTTCATGTTTTATAAGTTTTGGGAAACCAGTTTTAAGTTATCTTCTCAGAAAAAAAAATTTAAACGGATTTTCTAATCCGCACAAATTGTTAGGCACTTGTTTACAAAGCGTTATGGAGTGTTTGTTTTAATTGTTACGTAATTTCGTAAGCAAACAAACAAATACACACATTGCAATTTCACAACGAAAAAATAAATAAATTTCCGATCAAAGTCTTTGTGTACAATCTTGCTGCGGGTATCTACGCCATGTCCTTTACCTCAACATCGTCGAAACCGGTGTACTCCGCGACGAGCTCCAGGAGTGGCTCCAAACACTGCAGAGGTGTGGTGGTGCCGCAAGTCTTCAGGATAAGTCTGCGTTTGGATACGAACATGCTGCTCTCGCTGCGGATAAGATAAACAATCGTGCGATTAGCCATTGTTGCTAAGTGTACGACGAAGCATTTAATCTGTTTTTTTTTTCTTTTACACTCCGCAAAGTTTTCCGCCTTGATTCGTAATACGAATTCACGCGAGACACATTCTACCATTAATTAAATCTCGTTAAATGCGAGTTTTATCCGTCGGTTTTGATATTTTTCATGAAAAAAAAATTTTTTTATTCTCATAAAGTGTTTTTCCTTTGTTAAAAAAAGTTAAGTAGAAAAGTTCTGGACCACGTACTCGTGATGTTCAATTAATTAGGATTTATTGATTAACGTGTGTGAGCCATGCGCTCTGATAGACGCGCTTATGTATACCTATTATCAGAGGTTTGCGCAATTACTTAAATCAATACTTCCCAATTAATTAAACATCGTGGAAAGAAAAATATGTTCGGCACAATTGTTTGCTCAGTACGGAATAACGCCACGTGTATAAAAAAACACACTCTGTGCATAATCTCGATGCGCCAATTTCCCCTAAATTCAGCGGATAAAGCAATTATTACATTATTACCAGACAATTGTTACAATACATTAACAGTTTTTATTTCCTCGGCAAAAACATTCGAGACAATAATTGTAACAAAATATATATTTAAAATGTATGTTTTTCTTCTCTCTTGCGTCACTCGTTTTGTCTTTTCCTCAATTTTCCTCAATTATTACACATGTTGATGAAACACACGATGTCAAAGAACGACGACAAAGAACTGTCATAATCGTGAAGACTATATTCGAGCTGTGGTTTAGCAAAAGTCGACGAAGAATGAAGGATATTATAAGATATTTACTTGGCTTTCGTTGCTGTTGCTATTTTTGGACTATGCTTCAACTATTGGACGAACGATACGGAAGAAACATTGAAAGAGATATTTGCAAATTCTACAATTGTACATAAATACGTGCTGTAAATATTATGTTATGTCACATCGTTTTATTACGTCAATAGGTGTGTCTCTATGATATTCACTTCTTCACTCACAGATTAACTCACAGATAAATACTTCTGATTATGCTAATTTCTCTCTCTCTCTCTCTTTCTCTCTTTCTCTCTCGAACACAGAGCATAATTTTTATTTGTTGTTTTAATACAATGAAAATTAGAATCTTTATTTATCGGGGTTTCTCTTCTCAAAATATTTTCACTCAAATTTGTTAAATAAATTTTCTTACATATTTTAAGTTAATTTTTTCACATTTATTTATTTCGAATTCAATATTCAGATCGGATCGAATTTACTACAGATCAAATGTAATCGAGTTTCGTACGCGCAATAATTGCATTTCCATTTATTCGTTGCAACTATCTGAATGAGTGTAAGCATCGTAAAAACTTAAAATAAAAATAGATCGCCTAGGGTTATCGGCGATAGACGTTGACCCTAAGATTCGTCAGAAAGACCAAAAAAAAAAAAAAGGGAAAAAAACGATAACGCGCGCGCGTGTCTTGCTAATGTGTGTTAAGTGTGTAAAATTAAAGTTGATAACGCGTTGAATACACGTTACATAGGTTCTAAAAGATATCTGTCACTTTTCCGATAAAAGTAACAAAAAACTTGAATAAAAAAAAAATCTCGATTATCCGTCCAAGTTCAATCCGTGCGAACAACAAAGTGCGCGTCGCGTATCTAATTTTATTAAAATTTGTAATTAATCAACGGAAACGATTCTTATCAACTTGACCTTTTCTTCTTGCTTAGCTCTTCTCTCTGCTTATCTCGATCTATTTTCACATATTTACACGTATAGGAAATTGATAAAATTTTTCTATCTAGACAAAATTATCGCTCGTACTTTTTGTTCAAACCAATAAAGCACGTAATAAAACTCCATTTATCTATTAATAAACCAAAATAATAAAATAATAAAATTTTACTTCGATTTCGCAATCTCTCGCACTTAACATTTGACACGTGTGCTATTTTGTTCTATCACATAAAAGAGTTTACAGCATTAGTTTAATAAATATCAAGGTTAAAACTTTTTTTTTTCCAAATAAATCTTATCTTCGCGCAAGCCTGACAGATAAAATGGAAATCATTTTGCAGATATGAGAATTCCAAGAACGTGTTCGGTTCGAATGTGTCAATTTCGCGCAAGACTAAATCTCTCTCTCGTCGACGAGCGTGTCAATTGTTTCAGAATAAATCAAATCAAATGCCATTTGCGCTAATAAAAACAGTACACAATAAGTAGAGGACTTCCAAAAGCTAACAGCCTCTGACTTAAAAAAAATCACTATGTAGCCAATATGAAAGTTAGTTTTTCTTCCATAAAAAAAAACAAATCATCAAAGTCAAGATATCGAGCATTGCAACTGATGCTTTTCCTCATTCAATAATTAGAAGTGACAATTTTTAAGAAACAAATAATGACTTCATGTTTATTTCAGATAATTTCCAGTGAATTTTACTTCCAAGAAATTTAAATTCTAACTTCCCTTCTTAAGCGAAAATTACCTGTTTCTCCGGCATAGAGCAATAGCAGGAAAAACATTAGAGCCTTCATACAATTGATGGAAATAAATATTCGGTTACTCAGCGCAGGATCCAAGAGTGTAAAATTAAAACTTTCTTCTTAGCTCTTGGGTAGCAGCGAGAATTTCAAGTGAGAAACAAGATAACAGTCTTGTGAAAACAATATCCCTTGCGACTGGATCGTATTTCCGAGAGAGAAAAAAAAAGAAAAAAAAAACATTTGTCACATGTGTCGAGGAAACAATCGAAAGTAAAATTTAAAAAAAAAACTGAGCGCTGTACAACAAAGGGCCAAAATTATCCTATTGTCCCGAAAAAAAAAAAAAAAAAAAAAAAAAATCATAAAGTTCTGCCTTTCCCATTCGGGACAATAGACCACACAGAGAACCTATGAATGAAGAATTTGACATATTATCACGGTATGCTCTTTTTCGCAGAAGAAAAGAAGCGGTCGTTGAACTAACAATACCGTTTGAAGAAAGTTCTGTCTAGACGGCCGAAAATTGTGCGGCTGTTTTATTTGAATCTTTTCGCCGACACAGAAAGAAAAACCAACCGTTGGTCTGCGCTTACAAAGAGAGTTACAATTGGAAAACTTAGCATTGTACAGACACGTTAAGGCGAAATGAAGAGAAAAAAGAAGAAAAACAAATGAGAACAAACAGAGAGATGCGGCTTGTATATAGACTTGCACGTAGAGAAGCGAAGATTGCGAATTGAAAATCGATATTCGATCAATGTGAAACGAGACAAATCCGAGATCACGCAAATCACTCGGATTCTGATCTCGAATTCGCAATTTTCGACGACGCGGTCCGACACGAGTCACCTCGGAAGGCGCAATTCGCGCTCAGGGATGAAACTGCGCGGGCAAGTGTCACCTTGACCATATTTATTTATAGGGGCAGATCAACAGCGGTAGCAGCAGTAGGCGGGCAATGGGTCGACCGCGCGCACCCTCGAATATTCTGGAACCAGGGCACGTCGTGTCCTGCGACATCGTCGTCGTCGTCGTCGTCGTCGTCGTCGTCGTGACCGGCCGGGCCGGCCCGGTCCGGACGGTGGCACCTCTTCTCCATCAAAACAATTCGATATATCGATTAACCGCACACAGATACACGGGTGAGTGCCACATACGCTCGCTCGCTCTCTCTTCTCGGAACGCCCCTCTCGAAGTCGCTCTCAAACTCGCCCTCGCGCGTCACGAAAAATTGCGCCGTTGCTGCCTGCGTCGTCGTCGCCACCCCCGCGCACAACCCCTCGCCTATATTCTGTTTGTACGCAATTCGAGCAGGTTTAATTCGCAACGTGTGCGGATTTTTTGCATCCGTGCGTCCTAAAAATGCGATTCTAGCTAGAGGATGAGAATAAATATTAAACACGTTTTTTTCATTTATACGGATTGGTTTTTGCCGGATTGTCGACAATATAAAACAAATTGTGACAAAATATTTTACGAACATTAGTATCTCTAAAAGGCACAAGTTTTTGGTCGAACAAGAAAAAAATTATTGTCACTCTGATCGGAGAACTTTAATGAGCGCTACCAACAGAGAAAAGGCTCGACACGCCAATTGACGCGAATCGAACTCTATATTGTGCGTCTTTCTATGTGTCAAGGAAACATGTCTTCTAAAATTTTATAGTTTATTTTAGTCGATATGTTAAATAATACACAAACATGCGCTCCAATAAGACTTTTCAATATACTCGATACGAGAAAATGTATTTTTGATATATTTATAATGGTACTTCTTCATATAGTAATTAGTAAAATAGCTTTTTTCTTCTCACTTCTCTTTTTTTATATCAAATCTATGATAAAATCCATATCTATGATAAAAACGATTAATGACTAATCTGACGCAACAAAATACCTGATAAAATATCTGACGTATCGCAATTCCATAAACACGCATGTATATAATATACATGTTTTAAACAATTGTTTATGTTTTGTTTTTCCTTGAGATATCGCTCTAAATAGCAAAATTTATAAATATATACAAACTCTGACTCGCACACGTACGGACCGAGTAATTTTTCGAACAAAACTTTCGAAATTTGTACTTTTTAATCAAGTTTTCAAAATAACTGTTTCAAAATGTCTCTAATCTAAATCTAAATCTAAGTATTTTTCTTTAAGAATATCAGAGCAAGCTGCGTTATACGTAGTTTTTTTTCGGAATCGAATCCACGACCGCGACATTTCCGACAACAAAGACAGAAAAAATTGCAGAAAAAATTACTTAATAGCTACACAGAACGCAGATAGTTCGAACTGAGTTGTGAAAACGTTTCCGAGAAGATTATTATGTTCCGTCTCTCTCTCTCTCCGTTCTCTGTATGAAAACATAAACCGCGATACAGGAAATTTGATTCGTGTTATGCGGACTCTCTCAATCTGACATAATCTGTATTGTGTATGGATTAGAGCCTAGACAGAATATCTAGTAGAACTCACCTCAGAACATACGCGTCTACTTGATCGCTTCGACAAAAACTGATGATCTCGCAGCGAACTATCTTCAGCAAGGATTCCCATTTTTGTCTGCAAAACAAAAATTGCTCGATTAGATTCATCGTTGGCGCGTCGATTACTAAAAAAATACGTGTATCAAACAAACATCTCAAAACGTTAACATAGAGAAATCCATTATTTTAGAATTTACAGAATTTGTAAACTGTACAAAGTCGTGTTTCTCTCGTTTGTGATGAGAAGTGGGTAACACAGCAATAGATCACTTTTTCCGTGTTTTCGAAAGTGTTTAACTTTGGATCTATGTATCGCATCTGAGACAGACAAAATTTATGATATTTACTAAAACATTTATGATATTTACCTTTAGATCTGTAAGTGCAATATTTTTAGTCGTCTCCAAAAATATCTCAAAACAAATTAATCTACTGTTACTCCCTCCTCTAATAAGTCATTTTAAACGTTTTCTCATTTACATATACACGACCTTGATTTACTTACAAATAGCATGCGTTATTGAAAGATGATTTTGCGATTATCTCCGTGTTGTATGTGTGAAGATTATATCGATAATTTCTCGCGATCTCTTCGTCGCGGGCAAAACCCCGATTGATCTTGATGACGATATCAAGACGTCAAGAAGAAGAGACACATCGTCGAGAAGCGCGAAGGAGATTTTCGCGCATCTCTCCCGGGAACGTCGGAATTTCGGACTGACTCGCGTCCGCGCGCGGATTGCCTCTCATCTTCTCGCGCGGGCCGGTGTGTTTCGGCTTCTAAATTTATTGTCGCCGTAATATGCGTAAAACTAAATAGCGCGGTGTGTGTTGGACACACACGCTTCTCTCGTCGCGGCCGGTCTAAGAGCTTCCTAGTGGAAGGTTCAACGACACTTGTGTGTGATGTGGTTGCGCGTAAATAACTGCAACAATCAGAGATCCCGACGAGACTCCGCGCCGTTATCAATCGGCGGTTACATAATTGGCGCCGCATCGAGCGGCTAGAAATGCCGTGTGAATGAAAGTTCAATGAATTTTCACATCTCTTATCTTTTCCCTGTTCTGATTATCTTCCCCTCCGATTACAAGCCGCGGATCGTCCCTCTCTCTCTCTCTCTCTCTCTTTCTTGAAGTATCTCTTCTCGGATAGTTTTTACTTGTTTCCACCGAAGAGGAAGCGAATTCTTTGAGACTGTCGTCGCGGGCGAGAGATTGAAGCGTTAATGAATGAAAAGATAAAATTACACCGATACCGCCGCGCCGGTCAGACTGTTAAGCTCGCTCCGAATATGGTTTTTTATTTTCGATTCGCACGGTTCTTTTTTTACATCCAATTTTTCTTTTAGATTCGTTATAAAGATCAGTCAATATTTATATATATATATATTCTAATCTCTCGGATCAAAGCGAGAAGATTCAACAAATTTCCCCCCGATAGCGTCTTATCTCTTTTTTTCTCGTTATCGTCTTCTCAACAATTTTTCGCACGCTTATCTATCTCTCTCTCTCTCGTCTTTAGAGATTGGTAGGTCGCGGACAGAGATTTGGATTATCGATGAGTAGAAAGATACGAATCTGGTGACATTATTATTTTGGATCGTTCAAACGTACAATCGGTGCAATGTTTCGTCGTGAGGATTTTTTTGCGTTTCAAAAGACTAAATCTCGGACAATTGAAGCGACGTGAAGTATACCGTCACACTTCAAAACATACTCCGACGTAAATTCGAAGAAATGTAAAAAAAAAAAAAAATAAAAAATAAAAAATTGCGTTATAACGCCACATTTTCCAGAACTCCATACTTTCAATAATATCTCCGATACGTATGTCTCTCTGTCTCATTAAATGCGGAGAAAGAAATTTCTCATTTGCCGACTTCCATCGTCGTCGACCTCTGATCCCTGGTTTCTTGCGAAATTTTCGGACGGGCTTGCGTGTCTGTTCGGACTTTTTTTTTCAGAATGAACATTGCCCGCTCCCTATAACACGTACCCCGATATGTCTCGCGGTGGTGTAGGGATGATTAGTTTTTATTTTTTTGAATGATTAATTAGAAGGAATACCGTGCACACGGCCACGCGCGCGACATCGACCGGGACGACGAAAGGCTGGGTAAAACGCGAGTTCCTAACAATCGACGCCGGCGCGTCTCGTCGCTGTCCCATCCTGGGCCAGCCGGCGTCGACCGTCATCGGCCTCTTTTTTTTTCGCGAGGTAAAAGAAGAAGATGACGAAAAAAAAGGTGAAGGTGAAGAAGGCGGGACGCCGGCTAGTCGCCGATATTGCTTACCGCGGTATCTGACGCAGATCACCCTGATGCTGCTGGAGACCCTTCGAGCTGGTGAACCAGATTTCGAGGAGCTTCTCAACACCCTCGAAGAACTGGGTGTCTGCGCAGTCGTCGTTGTTGGTCTCCGCCATCCTCTTCTCGCCGTCCGCGGCCGTGAACACGTCCACGAGAGGTTTTCGCGGTGCACGCGACGTGTATTTCCCCGTGTCTTTCTCCAGCCTACGTTCCCCGCAACTTCGCAACGTGTTAAGTTTCTTATGCGACGCACCGATCGACTTGAAAAACTACGAATATACACGAAATAAAATCTGACCAAAGACTATTCAGTGGTGTCTTGAGCTCACACTTGCGGATCGTTTGACACGCACCACGACGGATTACGGAAGAATACTGACTGACGGACAGACTTTTGCCGGTGCTGCCAAGCACGCTGCGCCACCGCCAGTCCAAGTCGTACTCGGCGCGCGTTGCGATGTGGCGCCTTCATGCGACGTCAAAGCGAAAACTGCAAACACTGCCGACCGCCGCTAGATCAGCGGTGAGATCGCGCTCGCGATCAGCGGAATCGCGCCAGCGGGATCAAAAACAACCGACGGGGATCAAATCGACGAAAAGCGAATTCGATCGGTTCAGTAGGAATAAAAAAAAAAAAAATTGCAAACAAATAAGCTTTGTCATTTTTTTACAGCGGCGTAACAATATCTACATATGAAATTGCAGCTTCATTGTTAAGATAATTATTGAGATATTATTGGTGCAACATTTGTGCATTACTCTCGCAGCTGGTAATTTGTACAAAGATTTCGTATATTTTGGTTTGCTATAGAATTTATATCGTCTTACTTTGTGTATATAAAATTGTTATATACAGCACCACAGTACATAATATAAGTAAATATTACCACATTTATACTGTACATATATATACTTGAGAAAATGGCAGAGTTAATCTTTTGGCACAGACTTCTTCACTTTGCGCCGTTTCGTATTCTCGGCGGCGCTCTTTTTGTCGTTCTTCTTCTCGGGTGCGGCGAGGTTCCGTTTTCGTTTCTTCATTATCGGCTTCTTCACCAAAACGTTTTCGTCCATCGGCTTGATCACGTGTCCGATCTTGGTGGTCACTGACGGTTTGATCAACTGTAAATACGCGTTCTCCGCGACGAAGGTTCTGCTGATGGGAGCTCTGAGACTCGCTTCGAAGTCCGCGACTTTCGTGAACGGGTGCGGCAGCTCGTCCACGAGATGTTTCTTCAATTTCTTGTTTTCGTGCTCGAAGATGATCAGATTGCCCTTGTTCTCTTCCTTGCGCGGCGCTTGTTTCGGAACGTTCATTATGATCATTTTGCTCTTTCTTCTGTTTCTGTTTCTCTTTCTCTTCTTTTTATTTTCCTCCACCGCCGGTCCTCCCCAGCTTCCCCATCCGGGTAATTTCAGATCGAGTTCTTGCGGCGCATTTTTATTCTAAAATTATTTAACACAATTAGTATTTAACAAGTTTTTAATGTAAATGTAACAATAAAGTGTGTAATAAAATTGATTTACATACTTCCGCCTCTTCCTTCTCTTTTCTGAATTCCTCGATAACGTCGTCGTCGGCGAACGCCTCGCTCATTATTTTGCGTCTTTCTTCATCATCATCCGGCTCACTGTTCTCCTCCTCTTCACCTGTAGCAATGTCCGGCAGTTGCGTGTGTAAGTATTTCGGTTTGATGTTCAAATACTTGTTCGGATCTATCTCCGCTTCCTTCTTCGTTCTTTTCGTCAACTCTTCTTTTAGGTCCTTTGTTATTTTCACATTTGTTCGACTCCTATAGTTCTGCGCGCTGTCTTTGCCGGTTGTTTCCTCCAAAGGCTCATCAAAGGTAACTTTTCGTTTAGTGTTGGTGAATTCGAGATCTGGGAAGTAATCTTCTTCCTCTTCCTCATCTTTCTCCGGCTTTTTGCGTTTTTTTGTTTTGTTCTTAACAACAGAAGAATTCGATTCACGTTTGGACTTCGTAACTGTTTCTTTTATCTTTTTTACCTTTTTCTTTTTTTCTGATTCTGCAATAAAAAATATGTTAAATCTTTTTTTTTTTGTGATGAGTAGATATAAAAGTTTTTTTTTTTTTAGTAAAAAATACAATATATATGAAATAAAACTAAAACAAATTCCGAATAATACCTTTTTTGGAAGAAGACTGCGAGTTTTGCTCAGCATCTACGACGTCTTCGCTCGTATTTTGCTGACACTTGCGTTTTGATTTTGTAGGTTTTTTGTTAGCAGTATTATCTACATTTTCTGTATCTACATTATTACCTTTTTTGGAAGAAGACTGCGAGTTTTGCCCAGCATCTACGACGTCTTCGTTCGTATTTTGCTGACGCTTGCGTTTTGATTTTGTAGGTTTTTTGTTAGCAGTATTATCTACATTTTCTGTATCTACGTCATTTGTATCTACATCATTTGTATCCACATTATCTGTATCCACATTATCTGTATTGTAAAAAAATAATAAGTAGATTTTTCATAAAAACAAAAGAAAAAGCAAAACATAAAATTACAAAAGGAATTTGATATACAAATAATATGTACCTTTTTCATCAGAACGTGATTGCTGTTTAATTTCTGACTGTTGTTCAGCTTCTTTCTTATGCTTTTCTGTCCAGTATTGTCGATAACTTTTGATAAAATTTTCGACATCAGATTCAGTTTTTGTCCAAGGATTATCGTTGTCTTTATTTGGATTTGAAGGAAGTTCATCTTCTTTATCCTCATTCTCGCTTTCACTATCATTCCTCCTCACTTTCTGCGTTAATTCCTTACTGATCGCAAGTTGCTCTGCAAGTTCTTGTCGAACCTATCAAAACAGATTACATCGTTACGTTGTTGTTATCGTCTCAAAATAATTGTAAACAAAATCCAAAGTTACGAATCAGAAAAAAACTCACGTCTTTGTTATATTTGGCTCTGATTTGTTTATTCTTGGCCCAGTGACCTGTGTTTCTGTGTCTCAAAGTCATTCTTTCTTCTGCGCGGACTTTGTCCAATTGATTCAATTTTTCTAAGGCTGCCTGCGCATCAGTCGTTTCCAGTTCTTTGAACTGTTTTATTTGTTGTTTAACTATTTGCTTTCGCTGAATACGATGGAACTTTTTGCTCTTTATTTTGCGCTGACGAGATGCCTTTGCCTCTTTGTATGACTACAAAATTGTAAGCTCTTACAATTTCGATTTTGTTTTAATATTTATATTATTTATAAGTAAATTATTTCTTAGTCTCATTAAGAATTTTTCTTAAATAATGGTTACTAATGATTTGTGTGTTATCTTTTCATACCTGCTGGGCTCTTTGCTTGGCAGCTTCCTTTCTCTTCAGAATCAACTCTTTCATTGTCACTTTGAACTTCTCTTCTGGATTTTCTTCTTCTTTTTCTTCCGTCTGTATGCCATTTTCCTTATCTATCTCCTCCAACTTCGTCATCAGATCAGATTTTACTCTAAATCTTTTCAGAAATTCTGCAGTGGGAGATTCCTTTATCTTTCCTATGTGTTTCAATGGAAAGGAAAGATGATCGGCAGTTCTATTTTTAGCAATTATGGCGTTCCATTTTTGCAAGTCTTTTTTAGTATTTTCAAAGCCAACTGTCCTTTTTATCTAAAAAAATTCAGATTTTTATGATTTTTCTTGTTTCTTCAATTGCCAATTTTGAGATTCTTATATACATTAATACAAGTAAAGTAGAAACAACACAATACCCTTTCAGCAGTTGGTTTTTCTAATGGTTTTGGAAGAACTTTTGTCTTCTGTTGGAGATATCTAAACCTTTTGGTAATGTTGCTTTGATATCCTTTCTGTCCTAAAGATTTGACCAAATCTTGTGGATGTATCGCATCTTTGTCGGTTATGGCGCTTTTTACCAAGTGAAACTCTGAAACCTGCAGAGTAGGTTCACTTCTTTCTGCCTTTTTTACTCTACAAAGAAACAATCAAAGTCTCAAGTATTCAGGTGTTTAATATATGCATCTCTTCTTCATTATTATTTATTCAATTGTACCTTTGTCCTTTGTCAAGCTTTTCCACCGCTTTGAGCAATTTTGAATGATGTTTAGACACAATTTCTCCTTCGCTGTCGTCACTTATGTTGGAGTTGTCGCTCATGTTGGCATTGTCACTCATCTCTGGTGTCTGCAAAGATGTTACATAGCTTGATTCGACTTTTTTGTGGCTCAAACATACATCCATACATCATTAAATTTGCACTGACTCTAACCTAACTTAACCTAAATAAATCTAATTGCTTTTCTTGCGAAGGAAAGTATATTAAGATCTCTTTAAAAACTGAAGACACATTAAATAATATATTTAAAACATTCTTTCATTGCGCACATGTTTACAAGTGAGTTTATAAATCTTTATCTTCAGTCCCAGTTCTTCAAGTTTTTGACACATCTAGCAATTATGGTATAATTGGTATATAAATTACCGGCTTCTTCTCGACGTTCTTTTAAATTTCCTTTACGTATTACCTCGAATACGTAAAAACAACAATATTTCACTCCTCTTTCTTCAAATCTCGCCGGAACGAGCACATGTGTGTACACTGACAAAAACTAAATCGTACCGTGCAAAAGGGAATGGTTCTCTTTCCACAAGTTCGTCTTCGTCCGTCACCGGTCTGCCAATGGCATCTAGTAGCAATCAAATGTAATTGGCTCGTACTTCAAATCCAACCAATCGCAATAAATTGTTACTTAGGCGCTCGAGTGAGCGGTTGTGATTCTGAATGCAAGCCAATAGCAGTCGAAAGAGAAAAAGGCAACGGAGGAGGAAGAAACGCTTCTTTCCTCACACGCAGTGACTAGTAAGTTCTTATCTAGTGGGGTGAAGGTACCGACGCCGATTTGTTTGAGTGGTGTTCACAATTTTCGGACTAGAAGAAATTCTTTTATCAATTTAATCGCAGTAAATTGTTATCATTACTCGATTATTGACAAATATATCAACTTATTTTTCTTCTTTATCGCGTGAATTTGCACGGCAAGATTTGGGCGAAACTGTCAAGTAAGTGTGATTCGACGCGCATGTGCGAGGAACGCGGCCAACCAGGCCACTGTTTTATCGTCGCAAACAGTAGCGGCTAGCGAGAGGCGGTGCAAACAGCTGATTTTGTTCTGCGTGCGGTTTTCGCGTACGAAGCACATGTCCGTCGCCCGATAATCCGTCGCGTCAGATCTTCGAGTCTTCTTCGCGTCGCGCAATCGGTTTTCGGAATCGAGTTTAACTGGTGCGCGTGGTCGCGCGCGATCCAACGATCGTTGATATTTCGAACACCCGGCGTCCGGGAGATCGCGCGAGCGAGATTGCACCACCAGAGAGTTACGTGCGATATGAGCAGCGTCCGGCTGTGACCGCTGTAATTCTTTTCTAGTCGTCTTCTTTTCGCGCTTTTCTCGTTATCGTTGTCGTTGCTGGATCGAGGGGAAAACATGGCCGATCGCGATAGCGCGTCTGAGAGTGACTCGAGTTCGATCGACGGCGGACCGATCATGATGCCGCCGTCACCGGTAACGCGCGAGCAACTGCAGAAGCGCATCGAGTCTCTGCAGCAGCACAACCGCGTGCTCAAGGTCGAATTAGAAACTTACAGGATACGGGTGAAGACGCTGCAGGAGGAGAATCATGCCCTACGCAAGGCATCTGTTATCATAGTGAGTCGATCTTTTTCTTTCTTTTTTCTCTCCCGTTTCTTCGTCAGAAAAATTAATAATAGTTCGATAACAGCAGGATGATACGCAGGATTTGCGTACAAAAATTTTTAACTTCGTTGCTGTTTCCTTTTGTCGCAAGCGAGACGTAAATTGTACAAGACTTTTCTATACTACTTTGTTTCGTTATTTTACAGCAAGCAAAAGCTGAACAAGAAGAAGAATTTATTAGCAACACTTTGCTGAAAAAAATCCAAGCCTTGAAGAAGGAGAAAGAGACTCTGGCGCATCATTACGAACAGGAGGAAGAATGTCTCACCAACGATCTGTCAAGAAAATTGAATCAATTGCGACAGGAGAAGTGCAAGCTGGAGCAGACGCTGGAGCAAGAGCAAGAATGCTTGGTGAACAAGCTGATGAGAAAGATTGAGAAGCTCGAGGCGGAGACACTGGCCAAGCAGAGTAATCTGGAACAATTGCGACGTGAGAAGGTCGAGTTGGAGAATACACTGGAGCAGGAGCAAGAGGCGTTGGTGAACAAGCTTTGGAAACGAATGGACAAACTGGAGGCTGAAAAACGAATGCTGCAGATCAAGCTGGATCAACCGGTCTCGGATCCCACGTCGCCCAGAGAGATCAACAACGGCGACACCGCCACAAATCTGAGCACGCACATTCAAACACTACGAAGCGAAGTCGCCCGATTAAAGCACACTCTGTTGATTTCGCAACAAGAACGTAAGATACGCGACTTTTATTAAGTCGAGCAGAAAAATTAGCTCCGTACAAAGGTGAGTGATACAAATTTTTCTCGTTCGGCAGATACGGAAAAGATGAAGCGATACGTTAACGAGGAGAAGCAAATACGCGAGGAGAATCTGAGACTGCAGAGAAAGCTGCAATTGGAGGTTGAACGCCGTGAAGCCTTGTGTAGACATCTTTCGGAATCTGAATCCAGGTTAGTTGTTGTCGCAAAATTATTAGGAATGTGCGTCTGATTCGCGCGCTTATCCAAATCTGTGATCTGTTTGAACGTTTATTAAATTTAAGCTATATAAAAGATACGAAATTTCTTTTGCGGTACAACTGCGTTAAAATGAGCGATCGAGAGATTTGCCTTTGATATATCACGATAGACACGATTTTTGCAGCTTGGAGATGGAAGAAGAACGGCACTATAACGAAATTGTGATGTCGGGAGGGAACGTGAGGACTCGCACGGTGTCCAGTCCCGTTCCCTACAACCCTTCTCCTAGTTCCTCAAGACCATTGAGTCCAGGTAAGGTTCTTTTTTTTTTTTATGGAAATGCACGTGCAGATGCAATTGCGTTGTATTAAAGTATATACAAACTATCTAAACTTACACGTATATATACGTCATAAAACGTGATAATTAATTTATGTCGAGCTCCGTATTTTTGTAAAATATATATTTCTGCATGTCGGATATGTGGATACACAAACAAATATAATGAATTACATTGCATGTTGATCGAATGTCGCGATCTTTTTCAAATGTCCGATCAATGATTGATGGATGTAATGTTTGCCCGGTCACGTTGTGCCCGATAATAACGCTGAGAGATAAAATCGTCCCGTTGTTTCGAGTGAAATTTGTGAACTTTGTTTGACTGATGGTATCGCTGGCAAAAAAGAAAAACAATTTAAAAAATAGACGCTTTCGTGCTGAATGCACGCTTATCGATGTTTGGCGGATTTATGCGAGTAAGCGTTCTGTCATTAGGTGTTAACGTGGTAGGCTCTACGACCAGAGAGAATTTCGGTCGGTGTCACGCCTGCGGCCAGCCAACTGCCCTTCCGTTCGCCAGCTCATCGCCTCCGTCAGGGGTAAACTATCACACGTAGATAGTCCGTTAATTGATTAAATATTCACATAATTTGTTTTTCTAACGTCGTAACAATCTCTCCTCGGAATTTGCTTTGTCAATTGACGTCTGAAGTTATTGCCCGCCGATCGGACGAACAGTGGTAGTTAATATTGATTTATTTGCAAATATCTTTGAAACAGGGACACGTCGCGGCACCGTCCAGCAGGCGCACGTCGGACCGTTTCGTCAAACCAGCAATTCCGCCCACTATTGTGAGCCCCGGCGGTCCGCCGATCGTCGCTCCCAATCCCGCGGCGAACGTCACGGCGCCGAATTTGGGATCGCCGATGGACATCGCGAAAACATAAGTCTTCCATCCTGAGAAGAGGGGAACTCTCCGCGAATATAAACAAAAAAAACAAAAAAAAAAAAAAACAAAAAACCCCCTTTTTACATATTTTGCGCGCAAGATACTTCTCTCTAAACATTCGCGTCTCGGTGCTGAGAGAGAAAAACGCCGGAGATATATACGCACTTGATACGCAACGGCCATCGCGTCGGCGCTTCTTCTTCTCGAACATTTCCGTTCGTTCGATATTAAACACTTCAGCTCTAATGTGTAATATAACGGGCTATGGCTGAGATAACACGGGACTTAAAGATATTTCGATCTGAATGGCAGATTTGTAGATTTTAAACGGCTTTGCCTTTTGTCCGTAGGATCGATTTGATTTTCTTCTCTTACACGACGCGTACCGCTTTTCCTCAACGATTTCTTCACGACCATTCAGACGTGACTCCTTGTCGCATCACGCAATTCATATTGTTTGAGTGTTTCACGTAAAGAAAAAATAAAAAAGAGAAGAAGAAATAATGAGAAAAATTTAAAAATGTTGCTTCCAATGTTCCAAGTAATCACAATATAAATGTTGAACGCTGAGAAAAACAAACGTCGATTTAAACGCGACGTTTATTTGCGATATTACTGTAATTTTACTGTACGTCTTACGAACGTGAATACGAAAGTATTTAGAGTGTAGTGTGTCGCGATGTTTCACACGAGTTTAACAAAAGGTATTCAATTATGCATTTGTTTAGCTTTGAACCTGAGTGAGACTTAGCGTTTTCGGGGTTTTCCTAAGAGGCGGAAGCATAATTCTGCTGATTGGAAAAAATTTCATTAGCTCCTTCGCCGTGGATTGTCGTCAGATCTCTGCGAAAAAAAAAAAACAAAATACGCAAAAATCAGACGGAATCGGATTTCAGAATGAGATGGATCGGTCAAAGAGGCTTTAGAGCAGCATTTGTGTGTCCTCGCCCTGACGTTTCAAAGGGTTCCTCTTCTTGTACTCGCGCACCTAACAATTGAACGACAATTTTTAAAAAATTCAATGCAGATTTGCGAATTTAAAAAATAAAAAATAAAAAAAAAAAAAACATACGCACTCTTCGAAAGCTTAAGCATCTAAGTGTCCGTAAAGACATATATAATATATTTAAGCTAAATATATTTAATAATCGATCAATGTGTAAACCTTAAAAAAAAAAAAAAAAAAAACAACAACAAATATGTGCTCACGATATTTTTTAGTCTCATTGTTTTGAAAAAGTCTAGCCGTGTAAAATCCAATCTACAGATTTCTCGAAGTTTTACATCCTTATCCGCTTCGGTCTCTGTTCCCGAAAGTTTTTGGACGTCGAAACACTTTTGACTCGTCGAAAATTGCTTTTTTTTTTTTTTTAACGCTCGCGTTGCAAAGCGTTGAGATCTAGAATCTTCGAAGTTTTCTTGTCGGAGCCGCGAAAGTCTTCTTCGTGCGATTCGCAACGAGAGAAGCGAAATGCGACGTGTGTACAAACGACACACTTTGCGCACTCCGTTTGTTTGCTAATAATAACTTTGTTTTTTTTTTTTTTTTTTGTATTCACAATACGTGTGTGTTGGTTGGCGGTGTTGTCTGTTGCGTTTTCTTGTTGAATCGGACTTTGTAACATGTGTGTTTCGGGGAAACGCGCGCGAGATAAATCGCGTTCCCCAAAAATTCGGAAGACCAGAACGTTTTCATGTGTCTGTTTGTATAATATTTATAAAGTTTTGTTTCTGAAATGTCTCTCGTCTTTGCGCTTCGAGTCCTTCGAAACGAACTTTTGAAAAAATCGCGGAGTTCGGAGATCTTGAATATCTTGAGAAATTTTTCAGAGAGAGAGAAGCAACACCTCAAGGAGGAAGAATTAACATCCGTGTATGTGTGTATTTTTTTTCAGTCGGAAGAAAATTCTCAACGTCTCCTTTATATTACGTCCGGTCCTTACCACGAACAATCGCGATAAGAGAGAAGCTGAGAAATTTGTGACGTAAAAAGCACATGATATCAAAAAAAAAAAAAAAAAAAAAAAAAAAACAAAAACAAAAAAAAACAAACAAAAAAGTCGCGGTATAAAAATTTTATTCCCCTCCGTGCGGGAGAGCGATTTTCTCGCATTTCTTTCTCTTTGTGATTTCGTGATGATGCACGGCAGCTCTGACCGTTTATACAACATTTATAAAACTCTCCTGCGTTTGTATACAAATATATGTATATATACACATGTATATGTGTATGTGTGTACAAAACAAGTGTTTTGTGTAATAATTTATAGACGATACGCGAGATTCACACAGAAAGATCAAACCGTTGCTTATACGTCGATCGTATTGCGCATGTATAATGAATATACACTTGTGTGTATACTTGTTATACGTGTATAATACAGCAAAAAAAAAAAAAAATTTTATTATAACGTGAAAAGTTCTTATGAATAATTCTAATTAGGCAGATATGCTTCACAGCTGCATAGTATGTATTTTACTCAAGCTTTTATGAAATACACTGTCACGTTTTTGCTATTATGCGATGTCTTATTGTTATTTCACACGAGTCTCCTGAATTGTACACGTCACAACTATTCGTAAATACAATTAAGATTATATTTGATGTTTTCTATCCGAGAAGTGTTACGTGAATGATTTTTGGAAATTATTTTTATTATTTAATATACATATGTCTCTATCTCTCTTTCTTCTGTAACACAGAATTTTACACAGTTTTGCTGCGAACACTTTATTTTTAATTAGAGATAATGTAATAGCAGCGTATACTTGTAGAAAACGTAGAACGTAACTCTTGTAACATATTTCTATTTGACTTCAAAAATCAAAGCAAAATTCACTGCCGCGAAGCCTGAGAGCGGTCGTGAGTACACTTTACGTGTTCTCGCCCATAAAGGCTGCGACGTTTGTTTTTTTGTACATAATGTGTGAACTACACGAACCAATCGAGTGAATGAAAATGCTATCTTTCCGATTGATTTAGTTACGTACTCTGCCGCGCGCGTCAATTCGACATATTTCGAGATATCGCGCGTTTCGATTGCCGGGCAATTATGGCGGACACGTGACGCGAAACGCAACTCATTTGTTCAAATTTGTTTCGCATTTCTCGCAATTATTGTCGTCTTGCGCAAACATCGGTAATATGTCGAGTAAAGTGTCGAGTGTTTGCAGTAATACGCACTTGTCGCACACTTGCTGGTAATGCTTATTGGCGAGTTTTACGACGAAATACTGACCGTTTGCACGTGGCACGTGCGCAAGAAATACAACGTCGCGCGCGAAATAACAAATAGTGTGAAAAACTTTGTACTTTATGTACAAGTAAGTACATCTTTTTATATTATTAAAACGAATAAAAACAATATTATTATTATTATTATTATTATTATTATTATTATTATTATTATTATTATTATTATTATGTTTCGCGCTTCTACAGGTGTGCGAATACCGCGAGCTGCCGCGCGTATCTATTCGACGGATCAAACTGGGTGATTGTACGAGGGTGAAGTAAACAAAGTGTGAGCATTAGAATTAAGTAAGTTCTTCTTTTTTACATCATTATTTTCTGCTGTTTGTAAGTTTTATCTATATTTTCTGTTTCCTTAACACTATATACACATAAAAGCTATCACTATTATTACTGATACTACTTAGGCAAAAACTACAGAAGTTTGTGTATAGTATAAATAGAATCGTGAGTTTCAAATAGTTTTGATTGCCATTCTTTACAAACGACCTTTTCTTAGAACTGATAGAAGAGACTCTTCGACTAAATTTTATTGTTTATATATTAAAAAATAATAAATAGTTTCTATAATTAGTATAACAACACCTAATATCATGCCTCCGCAGAGAATTGCCAGTATTGGGATTACGTTACCTACATCAACTGGTTCGGACTCTTTATTTTCGTTTGTTTGCAATGAACCTCTCATATCTCTGAAGCGCATCACCATGCCGTTATTCAAGAATTTCTGTAAACTGAAACACACGATATCTCNTTACTTGAAATGACAAATACGAAGATTTTTTAAATAAAAGAACACAGAAATTACGTTTAAAATATTAGTTTTAAGTAAGAACAGTTCAACACTGATGGCCCAAATTTATTAAAAGCACTGTTTAATAGCGATTATTTACTTAAAAAAAGTATTATTTTGATCGTATCAATAATAAAGTTTTATAAGGGAAATCAAACATGCACACATGTGCAACATATACATGATACAATGTGAGTATACTTTTTATGACACGTACTGATGATTTATTACGCCTGTGTATTGGTTATCTTTAGAAAGAATCATTCCTAGGTTATTTACTGTTTTCATGCTAATACTAGATACTTTACATGGAATTTTTGTCTCCACGCTTTCCTTCAAAGTGTTCAGCATTAAATAAGCCACTTTTTCGTTACATATCTAGGAAGTGCGCGTAACGAATAAATAATAATTATACAACGATTAAATTTTTTAATTCTACGACGCATTGATACGACAATAGTGATTGTACTTGCAAGAAACCATCCATTATGAACGCCGGCAGGTCGCTTTCATTTTTCATTATTTTCATCATTTGTTTTGAGAAAGATTCATTCGAAGTCTGAAATACAAAATACTTGTGTAACGTAAGCCTTCAGTAATACATTGAATATTTGAGTACATACTGAATAACATGGCAGACATTATATATTTAGGTGTCGCACTACTTTAGTATTACGATATGTGTCTAATGCAATAGCCCTAACTTCGATTGTTTAAAAACCAAAGTAATAGTTTGAATGTTGAGTATTACATGAACTCACAACAAAAATGTCGTAATCGGGACCTTGAACTTTTAGCTTCATCAATTTTTTCGAGAAGGATTCCGCCAAACTCTAAAACGCAAAATCTTCTTGTAAAAATGATCAAATAATGATAAATTAGTCAACCTTAATAAAAACTTACTGCAACTACGTAATCGGGACCACCGCGTAGAATTATTAATTTATAAGTATCGTCGTTGACGATAATGTTCTCCCCCAATGTTTGAAAAGGCAGTACGGGAGTGCACGACGTTAGAAAACTAACTAATGCCGCTGAATAATATGCCATTATTAGTACTGACGTTACAAATATTGTGAAGTACGCAATTCGCATTGACGAACATTTTGGAAATTCTGGAGCACAAAATCAAAATTTATAAGTGTAAGTTTTATATATGTATACAACATTTATATATTTTTTATAAACAATAAATTTGTTTGAATAATTGAATATGTAGTGAAATATTATTGTGAAATGTTTAAGGAATATTTTATAAAGAGGTATTTTAGAAATTATTGTTTTAAAGTT